GAACAAGGGTGATGCAGGTTGAAGTGGTATGCTCACCACCCTGGCCCACTGGTGGTATGCTCACCACCCTGGCCCACTGGTGGTATGCTCACCACCCTGGCCCACTGGTGGTATGCTCACCACCCTGGCCCACTGGTGGTATGCTCACCACCCTGGCCCACTGGTGGTATGCTCACCACCCTGGCCCACTGGTGGCAACTATAAAAACTAGCTATGTACGCTTACAGTTTACAATAGTATTGTATAGTGTGTTCTAGTATGTTCTATAGCATTGTATTGTGTATTGTAGTGTGTGCTATAGTATTGTATAGTGTGTTCTATAATATTGTATAGTGTGTTCTGTAATATTGTATAGTGTGTTCTACAATATTGTATAGTGTGTTCTGTAATATTATATAGTGTGTTCTAGTGTGTGTTACGGTATTGTATAGTGTGTTTTAACTTGTGCCATGGTATTGTAAAGTGTGTTCTTGTGTGTTCTAGCATATTCTGTAGTTTTGTATCGTGTTCTAGTGTTCTACAATATTGTATAATGTGTTCTAGTGTGTGCTATAGAATTGTATAGTGTGTGCTGGAGAGTTCTAGTGTGTACTGGAGTGTTCTAATGCGTACTGGTGTGTTATAGTGTGTGCTTATGTGTTCTAGTGCGTGCTGGTGTGTTCTGGTGTGTGCTGGTGTTCTCTGTGTACTGGTGTTCTAGTGTGTAATGGGAAGTTCTAGTGTGTGCTGGCGTGTTCTAGTTGTGCTGGTATGTTCTAGGGTGCACTGATGTGTTCTAGTGTGTTGTATTATGTACTGGTGTGTTCTAGCGTGTGCTTGTGAGATCTAGTGTGTGCTGGTGTGTTCTAGTGTGTGTTGGTGAATTCTAGTGTGTGCGTCTGAGTTCTAGTTTGTGCTGGTGTGTTCAAATGTGTGCTTGTGTGTTCTAGTGTGCGCTGGTGTCTTCTAGTGTGTGCGTCTGTGTTCTAGTTTGTGCTGGTGTGTTCAAATGTGTGCTGGTGTGTTCTAGTGTGTGTTGGTGTCTTCAAGTGTGTGCGTCTGTGTTCTAGTTTGTGCTGGTGTGTTCAAATGTGTGCTTGTGTGTTCTAGTGTGTGCTTGGGAAGTTCTACTGTGTGTTGGCGTGTTCTAGTTGTGCTGGTATGTTCTAGGGTGCACTGATGTGTTCTAGTGTGTTGTATTATGTACTGGTGTGTTCTAGCGTGTGCTTGTGAGATCTAGTGTGTGTTGGTGTGTTCTAGTGAGTGTTTGTGTGTTCTAGAGTGTGCTGGTGAGTTCTAGTGTGTGCTTGTGTGTTCTAGTGTGTGCGTCTGTGTTCTAGTATGTGCTGGAGTGTTCTAATGTGCGTTGGTATGTTCTAGTGTGTGCTGGTTTGTTCTAGTGTGTCGGTGTGTACTAGAGTGTGCTGATGTGTTCTAGTGTGTGCTGGTGTATTCTAGCGTGTGCTTGTGTGTTCTAGTGCGTGCGTCTGTGTTCTAGTATGTACTTGTGTTTTCTAGTGTGTGCTGGTGTGTTCTAGTGTGTTCTTGTGTGTGCCTGTGTGTTCTAGTTTGTGATTGTGTGTTCTAGTGAGTGCTGGTGTGTTCCAGTGTGTGATTGTGTGTTCTAGTGTGTGATTGTGTGTTCTAGTGTGTGATTGTGTGTTCCAGTGTGTGATTGTGTGTTCTAGTGTGTGATTGTGTGTTCTAGTGTGTGCGTCTGTGTTCTACTATGTACTGGAGTGTTCTAGTGTCTTGGTGTGTTCTAGTGTGTACTGATGTGTTTCAATCTGCGCTGGTGTGTGGAAGTGAGTGTTGGTGTGTGGAAGTGAGTGCTGGTGTACGCTGATGTGTGGTAGTGAGTGCTGGTGTGCGCTGGTGTGTGTGGTAGTGAGTGCTGGTGTGCGCTGGTGTGTGTGGAAGTGAGTGCTGGTGTGTGGTAGTGAGTGCTGGTGTGTGGTAGTGAGCGCTGGTGTACGCTGGTGTGTGGTAGTGAGTGCTGGTGTACGCTGGTGTGTGAAATTGAGTGCTGGTGTGTGGTAGTGAGTGCTGGTGCACACTGGTGTGTGGTAGTGAGTGCTGGTGTACGCTGGTGCGTGGTAGTGAGTGCTGGTGTACGCTGGTGTGGTAGTGTGCGCTGGTGTGTGGTAGTGTGTGCTGGTGTGTGGTAGTGAGTGCTGGTGTACGCTGGTGTGTGGTAGTGAATGCTGCTGTATGCTGGTGTCTGGTAGTGAGTGCTGGTGTACGCTGGTGCGTGGTAGTGTGTACTGGTGTGTGGTAGTGAGTGTTGGTGTGTGCTGGTGTCTAATAGTGAGTGTTGGTGTACGCTGGTGAGTGGTAGTGTGTACTGGTGTGTGATAGTGAGTGTTGGTGTATGCTGGTGTCTGGTAGTGAGTGCTGGTGTACGCTGGTGCGTGGTAGTGTGTACTGGTGTGTGGTAGTGAGTGTTGGTGTGTGCTGGTGTCTAATAGTGAGTGCTGGTGTACGCTGGTGTGTGGTAGTGTGTACTGGTGTGTGGTAGTGAGTGTTGGTGTACGCTGATGTGTGATAGCGAGTGCTGGTGTGTGGTAGGGAGTGCTGGTGTGTAGTAGTGAGTGCTGGTGTGGTAGTGAGTGTTGGCGTACGCTGATGTGTGATAGCGAGTGCTGGTGCGCTCTGGTGTGTGGTAGTGAGTGCTGGTGTGTTACCACACACCAGCACTGAGTGGTGGTGTAAGCTGGTGTGTGGTAGTATGTGCTGGTGTGTGGCAGTGAGTGCTGGTGTGTGCTAGAGTGTGGTAGTGAGTGCTCGTGTACGCTGATGTGTGGTAGTGAGTGCTGGTGTACACTAGTGTGTGGTAGTGAGTGACGGTGTGAGCTGGTGTGTGGTAGTGAGTGCTGGTGTACGCTGGTGCGTGGTAGTGAGTGCTAGTGTACTCTAGTGAGTGGTAGTGAGTGCTGGTGCACGCTGGTGTGTGATAGTGAGCGCTGGTGTGTTCTAGTGTGTGGCAGTGAGTGCTGGTGTACGCTGGTGTGTGATAGTGAGTGCCGGTGTGCTCTATTGTGTGGTAGTGAGTGCTGGTGTACGCTGGTGTGTGATAGTGAGTGCTGGTGTACACTGGTATGTGATAGTGAGTGCTGGTGTACGCTGGTGAGTGGTAGTGAGTGCTGGTGTACGCTGGTGTGTGATAGTAGGTGCCGGTGTGAGCTGGTGTGTGGTAGTGAGTGCTTGTGTACGCTGGTGTGTGGTAGTGAGTGCTGGTGTACTCTAGTGTATGGTAGCGAGTGCTGGTGTACGCTGGTGTGTGATAGTGAGTGCCGGTGTGAGCTGGTGTGTGATAGTGAGTGGTAGTGTACGCTGGTGTGTGGTAGTGAGTGCTGGTGTACTCTAGCTTGTGGTAGTGAGTGCTGGTGAACGATGGTGTGAGGTAGTGTGTGCTGGTGTACGCTGGTGTGTGGTAATGAGTGCTGGTGTACTCTAGTGTGTGGTAGTGAGTGCTGGTGTACGCCGGTGTGTGGTAGTAAGTGCTGGTGCGCTCTGGTGTGTGGTAGTGAGTGCTGGTGTACGCTGGTGTGCGGTAGTGAGTGCTGGTGTGTGGTAGTGAGTGCTGGTGTACGCTGGTGCGTGGTAGGGAGTGGTGGTGTACGCTGGTGTGTGGTAGTGAGTGCTGGTGTACTCTGGTGTGTGATAGTGAGTACTGGTGTGTGGTAGTGAGTGCTGGTGTGTGGTAGTGAGTGCTGGTGTACGCTGGTGCGTGGTAGGGAGTGCTGGTGTACGCTGGTGTGTTGTAGTGAGTGGTGGTGAACGCTGGTGTGTGGTAGTGAGTGCTGATGTACGCTGGTGTGTGGTAGTGAGTGCTGGTGTACGCTGGTGTGTGGTAGTGAGTGCTGGTGTATGCTGGTGTGTGGTAGTGAGTGCTGGTGTGCGCTGGTGTGTGGTAGTGAGTGCTGGTGTACGCTAGTGCGTGGTAGGGAGAGCTGGTGTACGCTGGTGTGTGGTAGTGAGTGCTGGTGTGCGCTGGTGTGTGGTAGTGAGTGCTGGTGTACGCTGGAGTGTGGTAATGAGTGCTGGTGTACGCTGGTGTGCGGTAATGAGTGCTGGTGTGTGGTAGTGAGTGCTGGTGTACGCTGGTGCGTGGTAGGGAGTGCTGGTGTACGCTGGTGTGTGGTAGTGAGTGCTGGTGTACTCTGGTGTACTCTGGTGTGTGATAGTGAGTACTGGTGTACGCTGGTGTGTGGTAGTGAGTGCTGGTGTGTGGTAGTGAGTGCTGGTGTACGCTGGTGCGTGGTAGTGAGTGCTGGTGTACGCTGGTGCGTGGTAGTGAGTGCTGGTGTACGCTGGTGCGTGGTAGTGAGTGCTGGTGTACGCTGGTGCGTGGTAGGGAGTGCTGGTGTACGCTGGTGTGTGGTAGGGAGTGCTGGTGTACGCTGGTGTGTGGTAGTGAGTGCTGGTGTACGCTGGTGCGTGGTAGTGAGTGCTGGTGTACGCTGGTGCGTGGTAGTGAGTGCTGGTGTGTGGTAGTGAGTGCTGGTGTACGCTGGGGCGTGGTAGTGAGTGCTGGTGTACGCTGGTGTGTGGTAGTGAGTGCTGGTGTGTGGTAGTGAGTGCTGGTGTACGCTGGTGCGTGGTAGTGAGTGCTGGTGTACGCTGGTGTGTGGTAGTGAGTGCTGGTGTGTGGTAGTGAGTGCTGGTGTACGCTGGTGCGTGGTAGTGAGTGCTGGTGTACGCTGGTGTGTGGTAGTGAGTGCTGGTGTGTGGTAGTGAGTGCTGGTGTACGCTGGTGCGTGGTAGTGAGTGCTGGTGTACGCTGGTGTGTGGTAGTGAGTGCTGGTGTGTGGTAGTGAGTGCTGGTGTACGCTGGTGCGTGGTAGTGAGTGCTGGTGTACGCTGGTGCGTGGTAGTGAGTGCTGGTGTACGCTGGTGCGTGGTAGTGAGTGCTGGTGTGTGGTAGTGAGTGCTGGTGTGTGGTAGTGAGTGCTGGTGTACGCTGGTGCGTGGTAGTGAGTGCTGGTGTACGCTGGTGCGTGGTAGTGAGTGCTGGTGTACGCTGGTGTGTGGTAGTGAGTGCTGGTGTGTGGTAGTGAGTGCTGGTGTACGCTGGTGTGTGGTAGTGAGTGCTGGTGTACGCTGGTGTGTGGTAGTGAGTGCTGGTGTACGCTGGTGTGTGGTAGTGAGTGCTGGTGTACGCTGGTGTGTGGTAGTGAGTGCTGGTGTACGCTGGTGTGTGGTAGTGAGTGCTGGTGTACGCTGGTGTGTGGTAGTGAGTGCTGGTGTACGCTGGTGTGTGGTAGTGAGTGCTGGTGTACGCTGGTGTGTGGTAGTGAGTGCTGGTGTACGCTGGTGTGTGGTAGTGAGTGCACCGTCATAAACTAGCAGGATGGAAGTGCACCATTATATGCTTGTTGAATGGTTATATACCATATGATGGCGGAGTGTGAAAGCATATTATCTGGTTGAGGGAGTGAAAGTGCACCATGGTGGTGGAGGATGGATGTGCACCGTGGTGGTGGAGGGTGGATGTGCACCGTGGTGGTGGAGTGTGGATGTACACCGTGGTGGTGGAGTGTGGATGTACACCACGATTGAGAGTGGATGTGCACCATGGTGGTAGTAGGTGGATGTGCACCATGGTGGTGGAGGATGGATGTGCACCATAGTGGAGGGTGGATGTGCACTATGGTGGTGGAGGGTGGATGTGCACTATGGTGTTGGAGGGTGGATGTGCACTATGGTGGTGGATGGTGGATGTGCACTATGGTGGTGGAGGGTGGATGTGCACTATGCTGGTGGATGGTGGATGTGCACTATGGTGGTGGAGGGTGGATGTGCACTATGCTGGTGGATGGTGGATGTGCACTATGGTGGTGGAGGGTGGATGTGCACTATGCTGGTGGATGGTGGATGTGCACTATGGTGGTGGAGGGTGGATGTGCACTATGCTAGTGGACGGTGGATGTGCGCCATGATGGTGGATGGTGGATGTGCGCCATGGTGGTGGATGGTGGATGTGCACCATGGTGGTGGAGGATGGATGTGCACCATAGTGGAGGGTGGATGTGCACTATGGTGGTGGAGGGTGGATGTGCACTATGGTGTTGGAGGGTGGATGTGCACTATGCTGGTGGATGGTGGATGTGCACTATGCTAGTGGATGGTGGATGTGCGCCATGGTGGTGGATGGTGGATGTGCGCCATGGTGGTGGATGGTGGATGTGCGCCATGGTGGTGGAGGATGGATGTGCACCATAGTGGAGGGTGGATGTGCACTATGGTGGTGGAGGGTGGATGTGCACTATGGTGTTGGAGGGTGGATGTGCACTATGCTGGTGGATGGTGGATGTGCACTATGCTAGTGGATGGTGGATGTGCGCCATGGTGGTGGATGGTGGATGTGCGCCATGGTGGTGGAGGGTGGATGTGCACCATGGTGGTGGATGGTGGATGTGCGCCATGGTGGTGGAGGGTGGATGTGCACTATGGTGGTAGAGGGTGGTTGTGCACCATAAAGTGGTTCAAGGACGGAGTAGGGTACCATTATCATTGGATAATCCAGTGTATCTTTGCACAAGTGGTTCCTGAACTTGGCCTCAGTGACACACTGGGGTTACGAGGATATATACAAACTTGATACAAAAGTTTATACTTGTCTTCAAGTAACGACAACAGAGACTATGACTGTAAAAAATGTACGTGAAACATATTTCAGCTGTAACAATGAACTTGAGGGTTTGTAACCACACAATATATATGACTGTATTGTACTGTAATATATGTACTGGTATGATGCTGGCGAGAAACAAAGGTACTAAAATATGGTTGATATGAATACATTACATATGAGCCAAGGAAATCTTCAGCGAGAAAATAATTACAAATTACTGCATAATGTGATCGTTCACGATATAAATATTCCTTAACGTGGCTTTGTTTTTCTGGAAAGTATCAGAGTGTGTTCGCAAAAATATGGATATTGTACCTGGAGTTTTCGAAGAAGGCTTAAATCTCTACAAGGAACAATGTTTTTTCCTCCTGTTGATCCTTTAATAAAACCTAAAGAAGTGGAAGAAGTTATTTATTTACATTAGTGAGCCTTGCTGACATTATTACTGCTACAAGTGCTAGTGATATTACTGCTACTAGTACTAATGATATTACTGCTAGTACTACTAATGATATTATTGCTACTAGTACTAGTGATATTACTGCTACTAGTACTAGTGGGAAGCAGTGAAAACTAACCTGTGACTTATTTTTGCTTAACCTCTGACTCATTCAGGACAAGGAATGATGATTGCGAGACTGACATCCTACTCTAACCTCTGACAGATAGGCTTTCACTAATATTCCAATAGGCTCTTTGTAAAATGAGTCAGACATTTAGGCATCTGAGGGGAAGAAAGCCGGGATTTGATTAACAGTTACAGACCAGAGGCTGTTTTTCCAACTCGTGTGCTTACAGACTAGCTTTAGTCTGAGGTGCTGAACTGTGAGAGTCATAGCCTAGTGTTCCTGAATAGAGAGAGGTTTTTGATCTGATCAGCCGGGTTGTGGTTCGTACATCGGTTTACTTGTGGCCAACAGTAACAGCTTGGTTGATCAGGCCCTGATCCACTATGAGGCCTGGTCACAGACCGGGCCGCGGGGGCGTTGACCCCCGAAACCCTCTCCAGGTATACTATCTTAATGTCTAACTGTTAAGTATTAGAGGTAATTAGTCCTCTTGGGTGTTCTCCAGCGTTTTCCATGTACATGACACCAACACTAATGTGTGTTGCTACGATAGGGTTTAGTGGCTGGCGAAGAGTGACAATCAGCGAGAACATAACGATGATCTTGTGTACTGAAGGAGGGAAAGCCATCCCTGTCCTCAGAGGGAGTCACCTGGGTGTACACATCATAAATGTGTTCCAACGCAGCATCACATGGACGTTCATACTGCTCCGACTTGCTCTTCTTGTAGATCTTTGCTGACGAACATACTCTTCGATCTCTGTGTACATCGTTACTACCAGTTGGATTACCCAGGTCGAGTTCAGGGGGAGGCGGATATGATGGTGGGGGAGGGAGGAAGGCAGTCCAGTTGACCTGTACACCAGAGTCATCACTACACCGCCAGTGTGCACTGGTGTTAAAATGAGGCGACACTGATGTTAACAATGATGTAGTGGCATATGGTTCTGTTGATGTTGTACTGAGTCGCTGCTGCTGTTGTATCCTGGGTTCTGCATACTCATTCACTAATTGTTCTGGACGCAAAAGTCTTGTTGATGACAAACTGGAATCTTTGTCACTCTCTGAGGCTCGCCATGATTTGCGTTCACTATACATATTGATGGAGTGATGGTCGGGACAGATGGATGGTTCTTGGTAAACAGTTGGGGTGTGGACTGGGTTGCAAATAGGCACCTTATGGCGGAGTCGCCTCACGTACAACAAAGTTGTAGTAAACACCAGCAGTACCAGTGGTATTAGCAGGTACACCAGCCACTCTGGTTGTGGCGATGCGTGCATTACAGTGCCACCGCTGTCTGTGTTGACCTTCTGAATGCTGTGGGCATCATTTGGACCAGCATCCAGCAAGACTGGATCACTGAAGGGCCCAAGACCTGCTGCTGTAAGAGCTGCCACACGCACAGTGTAGAGGCGGCCAGGAAGGAGGCCACGAGCTTCCAACCAAGGGTTCTCCACCGTCTCTGTTGTCTGGCTGCCATTGTGACTTAACGTTACCTGGTAACCCACCAGCTGCCCTCTGGCTTCCTCTGCGGTCATACTTGACCACCTGATGAGTACAGAGCCTTCCTCACGAATTGTCACACGGACGTCTCCAGGCGCAGATAAAGGGACTGTCAACGAGAAAATGAAATTAGTTTTTACGTCAAAGCAGCAAGTTCTATGGTGCACTCTATATCCTTTCACTGAGCTGTAACACTGAGTCAATCATGTCTTTCATGTCCACCCAACAGACAATAATGCAACAGCTTATGTATGCACAAAATTCCTAGGTATACTAAAAATGACTATGAACCTCTTTTATGAGCAAAAAGGCAAATATTCTTTAAATGAGCATTTATTCATTGGGATATAATTAAAAATACACATCTTGACACTACGAAATATTTAAAACTATATGTATTTCGGTTGCTGTACAATCTGAGGAAGGAATCCCTGCAATCCATAAGACCCGTCCCTTGTGCTCCATACACACGATCGGAAGAGTGCAAGGTGTAGCAAAAGTTGGTAATGCAGCTAAATATTAGCATTGATGATCTGAAGGAAATTAGTAAAGGAATTCACAGGTAATTATAAAGAAGCTAATATTCAAACTTCTTAAATAAAAAAGTATGCTAAATCAAGACATATGCAGCCCAAGTCTAATTGCAATCTTTCAAAGAGACAAGACTGACCAATATCATAAAAGTGAGAGGTACATTAAGCTTGAAGTCGTTCAGATGTAGCATTATCTAGTTAGCTGCGTGGAAAACTCTAAGCTAATCAGATATGACACAAAGTATTAAATGAAGAGCAGTGTTTACTTTTTCTTCTATTTCTGCCAGAAAAGTAAATTGGGACCTATGTAACCTTTTTTTTTTATGAACCGGCCGTATCCCACCATGGTATGGTGACCATAAACGCCCAAAAAGAAAAAAAAATTTATTCTTTTTAAAATATTATATACAGGAAAAGAGGTTACTCGATCCTTGCTCGCAGCATTTTAGTCGCCTCTTACGACACTCACGCCTCACGGAGGAAGAATTCTTTTCTACTTCTAATTTTTTCTCTAAGCAATATTGATCAGCTTTTTTTAATAAAAAGTAAGTTCAGTAGACATGGTAAATAAGAAACAAGTTACTTTTATGTATACTTAATGACATAACATACAAATGTTTAACGATGGTCTTGATTTCACAAAGATGTTATAATCACAAATCACTTAGTTTTAATATATCATGGAATTACCCAGATAACTGCAATCAAATCTCTGTCCCAGATTTTCGCTTGGCCGACTCCATGGGGCTGAAAAATTACCTGGGTGGGCTAAATTGGGATGTCCTGACTACGGGTCAGGTAGGTGATCTTGGTTGGCAATATGACATTTTTTAGAGCATAGTTCTAGCTGCCCAGACAACTTTTGTTCTGAGTAGGGAAATTAGATCTAACAAAAATGATCCCAGATGGATGAACAATAGATTAAAACATCTCGTTGGTCAAAAGAGAGGCATATATAGGCGTATCAAAAGAGGAAATGGGCAGTTAAGAAATCAATATATTCAATTAAAGAGAGAAATAAAGAAAGGAATAAGAAAAGCAAAAAGGGATTATGAGGCTAAGGTCGCAAGGGATTCAAAGACTAACCCAAAAGGGTTCTTTCAGGTATACAGAAGTAAGATTAGGGACAAGACTGGCCCACTTAAGAGTAACTCTTGTCAGATCACTGACAGTGATAAGGATATGTGTGAAATTCTCAATACCTACTTCCTCTCAGTTTTCACCTAGGAAAATACTAGCGATATTCCTGAAATAATAGATTATGTAGAACAGGATAATAAATTATGTACGACAGCGGTAACTAGTGACATGGTCCTCAGACAAATAGAGAAACTAAAACCTAACAAATCTCCAGGTCCTGATGAACTGTTTGCAAGGGTGTTAAAGGAATGTAAAGAGGAACTTAGCATACCTTTGGCTAATCTTTTTAACATATCACTACAAACTGGCATAGTGCCTGATAAGTGGAAAATGGCAAATGTAATACCTATTTACAAGACAGATGACAGGTCCTTGGCTTCGAACTTTAGACCAATAAGCCTTACTCCCATAGTGGGAAAATTTATGGAATCAATAATTGCCGAAGCAATTCGTAGCCATTTTGACAGGCACAGATTGATTAATGAATCTCAACATGGTTTTACAAAGGGGCGTTCCTGTCTTACGAATTTACTAACTTTTTTCACTAAGGTTTTTGAGGAGGTAGATCATGGTAATGAATATGATATTGTGTATATGGACTTCAGTAAGGCTTTTGACAGGGTCCCACACCAGAGGCTATTGAGGAAACTTAAGGCACACAGAATAGGAGGAGAAATTTTTTCCTGGGTAGAGGCATGGCTGACAAATAGACAGCAGGGAGTTTGCATAAATGGGGAGAAATCAGAATGTGGGCATGTCTCAAGCGGTGTTCCTCAGGGGTCATTGTTGGGCCCGTTGTTGTTCACAATTTACATAAACGACATAGATGAGGGAATGAATAGCGACATAAGCAAATTTGCTGATGACACCAAAATAGGCCGCCTAGCTCATTCTAATGAGGACACTAGAGCACTCCAGGATGATTTGAATAGACTGATGCAATGGTCGGAGAAGTGGCAGATGCAGTTTAATATTGACAAATGTAAAGTTATAAATGTTGGACAGTTAAATAACCATGCAACATATAAACTAAATAATGTAGATCTTAATACTACTGATTGCGAAAAGGATTTAGGAGTTCTGGTTAGCAGTAATCTAAAGCCAAGACAACATTGCATTTGTGTTCACAATAAAGCTAACAGAATTCTTGGCTTCATATCAAGAAGTATAAATAATAGAAGTCCTCAGGTTGTTCTTCAACTCTATATATCCTTGGTTAGGCCTCATTTAGACTATGCTGCTCAGTTCTGGTCACCATATTACAAAATGGATATAAATGCTCTGGAAAACGTACAGAGGAAGATGACAAAGATGATCCCATGTATCAGAAATCTTCCTTATGAGGATAGACTGAGGGCCCTGAATCTGCACTCTCTCGAAAGGCGTAGAATTAGGGGGGATATGATCGAGGTGTATAAATGGAAAACAGGAATAAATAAAGGGGATGTAAATAGCGTGCTGAAAATTTCTAGCCAAGACAGGACTCGCAGCAATGGTTTCAAGTTGGAAAAATTCAGATTCAGGAAGGATATAGGAAAGCACTGGTTTGGTAATAGAGTTGTGGATGAGTGGAACAAACTCCCGAGTACAGTTATTGAGGCTAAAACGTTGTGTAGTTTTAAAGATAGGTTAGATAAATACATGAGTGGATTAGGGTGGGTGTGAGTTGGACCTGACTAGCTTGTGCTGCTGGGTCTGGTGCAGTGCTCCATCCATGAGTGGAGGTGACAAGACTGGGTGGGTCATTGGGCTAATTCGGGGGGGGGGGGTGTCATTGGACTAATCCGGGGAGGGACATGGACCTGCTCTGCATGAGTCAGTAGGCCTGTCGCAGTGTTCCTTCTTTCTTATGTTCTTATGTCCTTATCACATAAAATAACAATAAGTTGATTTAACATACAAAAACCAAAGTGAAACACAGTAACATTCCGCAATTATTTTACAGAAACCAATTTCAATAATAAGACTGACACATAATAACCTACAAAACCTAACATCAATATATTGTTACCTTGGAGGAAAACACATCAATGCTGACAGCTATGTAGGTTGTTGTGCATATACAGCTGACAGCTGTGTAGGTTGTTGTGTCTACACAGCTGACAGCTGTGTAGGTTGTTGTGCCTACACAGCTGACAGCTGTGTAGGCTGTTGTGCCTACACAGCCTTAACCCATCAAATATTCCACTAGTAACATACCATGCATCAGGTGTAGAAGACTGATGCCGCTCACAATTGCTGTATTTTAATCAGACGAAATGGGAAGTATTTAAATTCAATCTAAGCGACTGGGAGATATGTCCAATTCCTTGGATCATCATCAAGCCAAAAATATGAAATATATACTAATGCTATACGATTTTGAGATTATAATAGCAACTACACACTCCATTAAAAATATTTTCTTCTTACTAGGAAACACGACTCTTGAAATTCTGAAGCTGAATACACCAGCCTGTCTCCAGTTATTACACTGACACAGAAACTGGAACTAACCTGTACAATATTGTACACAGTACACCCAGCAACATTGTACACAGTACACGCAGCAACATTGTACACAGTACACGCAGCAACATTGTACACAGTACACGCAGCAACATTGTACACAGTACACGCAGCAACATTGTGCACAGTACACCCAGTAACATTGTACACAGGACACCCAGCAACATTGTACACAGGACACCCAACGACATTCTACACAGGACACCCAGAAACATTGTACACAGTGCACCCAGCAACATTGTACACAGGACACCCAGCAACATTGTACACAGGACACCCAGCAACATTGTACACAGTACACCCAGCAACATTGTACACAAGACACCCAGCAACATTGTACACAGTACACCCAGCAACATTGTACACAGGACACCCAGCAACATTGTACACAGTACACCCACCAACATTGTACACAAGACACCCAGCAACATTGTACACAGGACACCCAGCAACATTGTACACAGGACACCCAGCAACATTGTACACAGTACACCCAGCAACACTGTACACAGTACACCCAGCAACATTGTACACAGTACACTCAGCAACATTGTGCACAGTACACCCAGCAACATTGTACACAATACACCCAGCAACATTGTACACAGTACACTCAGCAACATTTTACACAGTACACCCAGCAACATTATACACAGTACACCCAGCAACATCGTGCACAGTACACCCAGAAACATTGTACACAGTACACCCAGCAACATTGTACACAATACACCCAGCAACATTGTACACAGGACACCCAGCAACATTATACACAGTACACCCAGCAACACTGTACACAAGACACCCAGCAACATTGTACACAGTACACCCAGCAACATTGTACACAGTACACCCAGCAACATTATACACAGGACACCCAGCAACATTATACACAGTACACCCAGCAACACTGTACACAAGACACCCA